GTTAGTGCACCAGACGAATCTGGGCAAAGGCCCCCCTGGTCACAGCTGATAGATGATGTTCCAGTTTCAGCTGCGAATCCAGGAGGACTCCCAAATTGCGGACCCTCTCTGAGGGGCGTAAATTTTCTGCCCCTAGGGTTAAGGATGGACTGTCTAAGCTGTCCTTCGGGAGCAGCATCCAAAGCCACTCAGTCTTATCGGGATTGAGCACAAGTTTGTTCACCCCCATCCAGATCCTAACAGCCTCCAGGCATCAGCACATCACGTCCGCTAAAATTCATACACTTTTTAAAAAATAGGCAAGTATATAGATTAGGTAGATCTTTGTGAAATATTTTTTTCTTCAGAATTTCTAATTTCTTTTGTTTAACACATGAAAATGTACATTTATTATCTTGGATTTGTCAACAGTGTGTTTAATAAATCACCTTTTGTGGAGATATCTGGTTGAAACAAATAGCTGTTACTGAGAGGGCTGCTAAAGGAAAAAGATTTGGAGGAAAGAAGGAAATTAGTGTAGCTTCCTAAGTTTAAGAAACTAACAGAATATTCCCATACTTTGTTTTTGTGTGCAGGGATTGAAGCATTTAAGAATGGACAAAGACTTCCGCTACTATTTCCAGCATCCATGGTCTCGCTTAATTGTGGCCTACCTAGTGATCTTCTTTAATTTTTTAATATTTGCTGAAGATCCAGTATCTCACAGTCAAACGGAAGCAAATGTCATTGTTGTTGGAAACTGTTTTTCCTTCATTGCAAATAAATATCCTGACGAAGGTGGCTGGAACTTTTTAAAAGTCACTTTGTGGCTACTTGCCATTCTCACAGGACTCATAGCTGGCAAGCTTCTCTTCCACCAGCGTCTATTTGGTAAGTCCCAAAATGTGCTAAAAGCATTGCTACTTAATACTTTTATGTTGAAATAAAATGCAACAGTCCTTGCCAAGTCTCAGTGTAACATATTGCACGATAGTACAGTATTTATCTGCTTGGATTATGTAACTAATATCTAATTAGTAATATTCAGTTTTTCTACCTATATTCAGTGTATTAAAGAACTTTTTTTTGTCTTATTATCTACCATCTAAATTCTGTCTTGTGATTGATGATCATCTGATTCCCAAATGTATGGCATTCCCTCGGAATGGGAAAACTCACCAGGGCCAACTTTCTGCGGCCATCCTGCCATGGACATCTTATCACGACTAACCTGATACAGTCATCTCACTGCTGCCATGTTGCCATAGCCAACTTACCATGATTCAACCCGCTGTGGCCAGCTCACTATGGGAAAATTCACTGTGGGACAGTTCCATGCAGTATAACTCAATGCAATAAATATTATACATCTCTGTTTCTTCAACATTATTTTCATTGACAAAAATGGAAGTAATGTAGAAGAAGCTGTGACAGATAACAGTTATTGTGTTGAGTATCCCACATGGATTGTCCCGCTGAGAGTTGGCCATGGAAGTTGTCCTATGGTGAATTGTCCTGCAGTGAGTTGGGCTTAACAATATGACCACATTGAGATGATGTGCTGCCCCATTCATCCCCCCCCCCACACCTACCTACCTCTATTTTATTGAGTTAATATTCCCCTCCAATTCCCTTCACCAAAACTCAGAACTGTCACAATTAAGTCCAGCCACGAGCAGGCCAAAATTAGTCCACAGAGCAATGCCCCAATTGTTCACAAAGCAATTGAAAGTTGCTCAAACAAAATAGCTCCACCAAACAAACTTAAATCCACACATAATGCTCACAATGCAAAAAAAAAAAAAAAGTCCAGTCTCCAAGGCTGTGGAAACTTCACACTGGACTTCAAACATTTGCAGTGTGTGCCTCTCAATTCTTCCTCCATATTCTGGGTCCTTGGTTTCCAAATGAGATGCAAAAGTTGCTCTCAGCAACAGACCAGGTCTGTTTTTCTTTAGCCCAGCTAAGACGCTTCTGACGTTGTTTGTTGTTCAGGAGCGGCTTGACAAGAGGAATACAACATTTGAAGCCCATATCCAGGATCCGTCTGTGTGTGTGGTGGCCCTTGATGCACTGACTCCAGTCTCAGTCCACTCCTTGTGAAAATCCCCAACACTTTTGGGTGGACTTTTCCTGACAATTCTTTCCAGGCTGCGGTCATCCCTACTGCTTGTGCACCTTTTTCTTCCACACTTTTCCCTTCCACATAACTTTCTATTAATGTGCTTTGATACAGCACTTTGGGAACATCCAACTTCTTTTGCAACTACTTTTTGAGGCTTTCCCTCCTTATGGGGGTGTCAATGATGGTTTTCTGCACAACTGTCAGGTCAGCAGTCTTTCCCATGATTGTGATTCCTACTGAACCAGACTGAGAGACCATTTAAAGGCTCAGGAACCCTTTGCAGGTGTTATGGCTTAATTAGCTGATTAGAGTGGGACACTTTGAGCCTAGAATATTGCACCTTTTCACAATATTCTAATTTTCTGAGATTGTGGATTTGGGGTTTTCATGAGCTGAAAGCCATAATCATCACAATTATGATAAATCACAGCTTGAACTATCTTGCTTTGCATGTAATAAGTGTATCTCTTTATTAGTTTCACCATTTAAGGTGCATTACTGAAATAAATGAACTTTTGCACGATATTCTAATTTTTCAAGTTTCACCTGTATCATTAGAACGTACATAGTATCACTACATTTCAATCTCTAATCTTTATATCTAGCTACTACTTTTAATATATTATATAAAAATATGCATAATAATATTCCGATTTCTTCTGTCTGCCTCTATTCTATCTCCTAGTAAAGCCAATCTTCTGTACAACATTTCCTCTATCCGTCATATCTTGCTCGTTTTAATATTTTGATTCTTATTCATTTTTTGATTTGGAAAGATGGAAAGCTGAATCAACTTTGAGCTGGTGAGAATCGAACTGCTGGAAGTCAGCAGAATTAGCCTATAATGCTGCATTCTAACCACTATGCCACCATGGATCATTAGTCTAAAACACAGTTCTGATGTTCCTGAAATATTATCAAAGTAATAACGTGTCCTAACTCTTCAAGTCAAAGAGGTTGATCAAGTGCCCACATGCATCTATGACCTTATAGGGGGCAGATGAATAGATTTCCAAACAAATGATTGTGCTGCAACATCCCATTTTTTCCCTCTGCTTCTATGCTTAAAAACAACCTTTGTGGTCTGTGTGAGACTACCAGTATGGCATTTTGTGGCATATAGAGGGTGTACCAAAAGTCAGACCTCATATGCCAATCACATACCTAAAATATGTTCCAAATTTATTAGTAACTTTTTAAGGTAAAATGTTGCTATATTTAGTAATGTTTAAAAGTCATTCATCAAACAAGTAAGGAAGTGTTTAAAAGAAAATGGCAACCAGTTCAAAAATGTTATGTAATTTATATCCTTGTCTAAAGGGTCTAAGTTTGGTACATAGTGTATGTAATGTATATACACGAACTTGCACACAGACATAATACACAACAAAAATAAGGTGGATGAGAAGCCTGCACTTACATTCCCATGTGCCACTTTATGAAGCATAGATTTCTGATTGCAATGAGGCTATAAATGGGATAATTGTTAACAAGATGCTCTCAACCTGCTCCCTAAAGTGTGACAGCCAAATAATAGCACCAGGACATTAATCACTTCATCTTACTGCTGCATGGACAGATCTAGACTTAGTCTTACTGCAATCAAATCCTCATTGAAATTCAGCCACTGAATCATGTAATAGTTGCTTTAATAATTTGTGTGCTAAATAGTTTCAAGCAGTAACTTTCAAGAGTCAAAATACTTCAACAAGAACTTTTAAGATTAGCAAATTAAAATGATAAATGATTCTGTACTACATACTATATTTTCCTTGTTTTGCTTCCTTAGAAAAATTTCACATTTTGCAGGAACTGTCCTCTCATTAGCCAGGTTTTCCTGACGTCTCATAAATAGTCTAAGGGAAACTAGTATTAATATATTTTTCTCACAGGTGCTTCTAAACCAAGTACAAATAATATGTCAAATAAGATTAAACTGTTTGGTGTTTCTGCATCTGGAATGGAAGCAGTACTGTTCAAATATCTGCTTCAGATAATAATAATACTTTTGTCAGATCGGCTTCCTAGTGTAGTACATCAACAGGCAATCAAAAAGTACTGAATGTGTTAAAACAGGCTGTAGAGGAAAAGGACTTGGTCAGTGGGAGCCGTTTAAAAATAACATTTTTTGTAAAAGAACTATTGTCTAGGAATGTTACATGGACGAAACATGGATTTGATTCATACTTTCCAAGCCTCATTACAAGGAACAGAGAAGTTTACTCTCTGCTTCAGTATAAGTAGGAATCATTCATGGAACTAAAGCTGAACCTTGGCATGTTTACAAAATCTGTACCATTCTCTATTTTCTAGAATAATAGGAAGTTCTTTGAGAAATCTGAATACATTTTTAATATCTTATTTTTGCAGGTCAGCTACTTCGGTTGAAAATGTTTCGAGAGGATCAGGGGTCTTGGATGACAATGTTTTTCAGCACCATACTTTCTCTCTTCAGCTTTTCTCATCTCTACAATCTATGTCTTCTTATGGCAGGTAACATGAGGTAGGCTGTAGCTTTCTGATATTCTTTTTGTTAATTATAACATTGATTAGAATTTTATAAATAGATAAATATGCAAGTTTTATAACAGGGAACTAATTCATTCATATTCTTCCAAGTATAAAATACTAAATAACTATAGGAGAAAAATTCCAACCGCTACTGGTGATTTTAAATATCTGTTAATAGCTGCAGCAGTGAAGGATTGGATAATAAGTAAGAACACAGAGTTATAGCTAATTGGTTAAAAGGGAGTGTGCCACTGCAGGAGGGAATCTGAGCTGTAATTGGTTGCTGTGAGAGTAAAGGGGGAGTTTCCTTGTTTCCTGCCTTTTTCCTCTGTGTGCCTTGTGTGCTCTCTGGTTTAATGCATGATATTCCTGCTTTGTTGATTTACCTGTCGATGCTCCTGTTTGCTTATCGTATTTGCTGTAAATATATTTATTTATATAAAAGCACTGGTTCATGTCAGTGTCTCTGACTCCATTTCGACACTGGCTACACAATTCCCTGACGGTATGGGCCCAGAAGTGCCCTGAAGAGCCAGTAGTATTTTTCTGAGGTAAAAATTTTTTCATGAGCTTGAGGGAGGTTGAGGACTGTTGGCTTGTAAAGACAGCACGATGCAATTTCGAACAGGAATTGGAAAAGGAGTTCCTGTGGCTCTTAATGAAACAACTTATCTCCCTCATTTATCATTTTTATTTATTATATAAAATGCAAAGAAGAAAAGAAAATAGGAAATTAAGGGAGAGAAAGGGAGTGGAGAAAAGGGAACATGGAAACATGGCTAACTGAACACACGCCCGGGGAGAGATCTCCAAAGGATTTTTCCCTGGGCTATTGCTCCTCTGCCTTCTAACTGAAGGAACTGACATCCCATCAGGTTTTGTCACCCACCCGGCCAGAGTGTGTCGAAGAACTTCCCCTCGGAACCCTTTATTACAGCTTAATATTTCCTCTTAATATACCTAATAAAAATAATTCTGGTTTTAAATCTATTTGTTGTTTGGTAATTTTCTCTAGCCATTTTCTTATCTTTGTCCAAAATTTCTTTGCTTCTGGGCATGTCCACCACATGTGGAAATATGTTTCTTGCTTCTGTTTACATTTCCAGCATTCCACGGACATTTTGGGAACATTTTCGCTATTCTTAGTGGTGGCAAGTGCCAATGATAAAACATTTTGTATAAATTTTCTTTATATGCTGCGGACATTGTTAATAATCCCCCCCACAATTTTTCCCAGTATTCTAATTCAATGGTATATCCAAATTTTTTTGCTCAAATTATCATAGTTTCTTTAACTGTTTCTTCTTCCATCTTGTATCTCAATAGATAAGTATATGCTTTTGTTATCATTTTTCCTCTGTCCCCTGTAATATTTGATGAGTTCTTGTAGTTCTCTGCAAAAACCATACTTTTCTACATCTTTTTTGTATATTGACTGAATTTGTAAATACAGCCACCAATCTATATCCATTCCTTGGTTGATTCCTTTTAGTTCTTGATTCATTTTTAAATTTTCTTGGTCATCTAATAAATCTTTGTACCTTACAATTTTGTCTATATCCAATACATTAGGATATATTAATGCCTCCATGGTTGAGAGCTAGACTGGTATTTTACTGTAATGATTCTTCTTTATTCCCATGTTAGTAATAGGGCTTCTCTAATTTGGTATCTCTGAAAATAGGAATTTTTTTTTAGTCATTTTATTAAGATTTATAGGCCGCCCTTTTCCCTGAGGGGACTCAGGGCGGCTTACAATCACAGGGAAAGGGGTGCAATATCAGAAACAAACAATATGTGAACAAAAGAAAGAAAATAATAAAACACAACTCGCATTCAACAGTCAACACTCGGGCGGGTAAATTGGGAACCTATCCCCAGGCCTGATGGGAGAGCCAGGTCTTGAGGGCTGTGCGGAAGGTCTGGATGGTGGTGAGGGTACGGATCTCGACGGGGAGGTCGTTCCACAGGGTCGGAGCCTCTTTTTGCCTCTTTTTGTCCCCCCCCCCAGCCCCCAGGAGCACTCTACAACCCTCCTAAAGGCTATGCATGCTCCCCCCTTTTTTTTTTTTTTTTTTTACAAAAAATGGGCCTGTTTTCGCAAAAAAACGGCCATTTTTGGGAGGTCTGCAGAGTGCAATTCTTTTTTTAAAAAAAAG